GACTGTTCTTACACTCTAGCTTTTGTTGCTGCTCTTCTTGGACAGCCTGTTTCTCTCCCTCAGACCTGGACTGGCATGCTTGCGCGTATGAGTGAGAAGGCTGGGAGAGGATCTAGAGCTGGCTTGGTTGACTGTTCAGTGTGGTGTTGGTGCTTGAGTTTTATTTGGAAAGAGCGTTGTCGACGTTGTTTTGGTGGCTGCTCCTCTTCCCCTGAAAACCTTGCAGAGATGTTGCGGCGTGAGGTCTGTCTTTATGGGGTTGGTAATACTGAGTTTCAGCAGGAGATTAGCAAGATTCCAGCTTACAGCAAGTTACAATAGCTATCTTTCCTCTGTTGTTCATTCTGTTCTTTTGATTAAGTTGTTCTCTGTATGAACTTTGGGCGCTTTGCCTTTGTTTTTTTTAGACTTCTTGCACTTTGCAAAGAAGTTTGAGCTTAATAGAATCTGCTAATTACCGGGAAAAATTTTTTTATGTTCAACTACTTATTGAAATTGAAATAACCTAGTTCAATTAATCTATATATTGGACTAAATAAGGTGAATTACTCTACGAATTGGATTTGGAAGGTTACCTCATTGAACTCTAGATTGTCAAGATGCATGCGATATCCGACAAGAGAGTGTTCAGGACGGTGGTCTCTTGTCGAAGCTCCTGTCCACCTAGCACCATATGGTGCTTGCCTTAGTTCATGATCGTGGGCCCAATTATTGGCGGGGCAAAATGGCGCAAAGCTTGGAAGATGCTCGCAAGCCCACAGTTGGACGATGAACATTGCGCCACCCGCTTGCTTTGTATTTGGGTCAGTACACTTGCACAGCTCTGCGTACAACGTTGCCAGACAAGCCGATCCCCAACTCTTTCGTCCCATGTCGTCCCAATCTCCCAATAGCAGCGGAAGCCACATGCAATACAAATACCTATTGGACTAGTTCAATTAATCTATATATTGTAATAATACATACTAATTATATTGAATGAACTAGAAAATATAAAAGGTAATTATATCATGAAATAGTAATACTAAATTCTAATTTGTACGAAATATATATAATAATTGCTAATTATATTGTACGAAATAGATATAATAACTGATAATTATAAATATAAATGATAAATGCTAATTATAATGTATGCATATGAACTGATAAATACTAATTACCAGGTCTGCCGCCCAAACACTTTGCGATCGATGAAAAGGTTTGTCTTCCAACAAATCTGGATTTCTCGGACCAGGATGAATATAAATTATCGGATCGTAAATCTCCGCACCCAACTTTTATGGCAAAAAAAAATAGTCAGAATGTGAATGAAGAGTTTAAGGGGTCGTTTGCTTCAAGGATTTGGTACATGGATTTGGTACCAAAAAACCAACTATCAAGGATTTAGGTACAATCCGTTGTTTGCTTGCACCTTTTTTGGAGACCAAATCCGTGGGGCCCACGGATTTTAAGGGTCCAAATCCGTGGACCCCACGGACTTATAAATCCCACATGTTGATATGGGATTTGGAATATGGCATAAATCCTTGATGAGATTTTACCCATATACCCTCATGCACTTTTAATATTCCAAGGTTGCCCTCAAATTTAACTATTATACATTATAATTAACAATAAATGAATAATATAAACGTTCAATTAATGTGCAAACACGAGTTAGATTTTTTATATCATTTCTTGTGTTCTAGTTTTCTTTGACTTTTTCATGGAACGTGTAATTCTTTGTTCTCCCGATTCTAATATATATGTTGTTATATGTCACTTTTGAAAAGGAGGACAAAGAATTGGTAATTGATTATGTTATGTTAAAATTTTTATTATTATTGTCCATGTGGCAACATTATGCTTATTAGTATGTATTGTCCTTATTTTGTGTACATATCATAAACATGTCAAACATATAGAAAATGATAGTAAGGTAATTTTGAAGTTTTGTCCTTGTTTTGTTTACATATCATAAACATGTCAAACATATAGAAAAGGGCAGTAATGTAATTTTTTATTTTAAGTAGTAAATCCCACACCTTTAAATCCATGATAAAAACATCCCAACAAACAAATGATTGTTACAAATCCATGATGCCTCAAATCCTTGATAAATCCTTGGGTTTTTAAATTACAAAACCCTCATTTTTAAATCCATGAAGCAAACGACCCCTAAATGCAACAATCATAGCACTATAAATTCAAATTGGAACAGATAAAAAAACATACCCTATTAGCTTCTTGCTCCATTTGGTGTGCAAAAATCGGACAGAAGTTGGTTAAAAATATTTGTAGGTAGAGTAACCGCTAAATAAAATTACTTCTGTTACAGGAAGATCAGCATACGCCGCAACCTCGGAGCATTTTCCTTTCCTTTAGTGGTGGAAATGAGAGGGAGAAGAGAAGGTGGAGTGGTGTGGTGTGGTTTGGGATGCAGGAAGGGGGGTATATATAGTTGTTCTGGATCAGAAGTGGTTCACTAGGCTAGGGAGTGGACCGCACGATTGAGCCGCTGAGACGTGATTCAACGGTTGCTCACCCGCCAGCTCAGCGATCCATGCACTCCCCTTGGCGCCAATCGTTGGGGTTCGCTAGGCGACCGAGCGATGCCCTCCACGTGTTGTGCATCGCGCGATTCGGCTGTGATCCGCGCCAATTTATTTTGGCCAACCACAGCGAGCCACGTGCCTCGCAACAGTTAAAGGCGTACTACACGTGGTTCGCTACACAAAGCAACAAACAGCTTCAAACTTGGGCATTTTGGGAATTTTTTTTAAAGTGTGGTATTATGGGAATTGTTTTTTGAAACTTAGGTAATTAAGGATTTTTTCCGGCAAGAGACGGGGGCAGCGTCGAATTCCAACTCTTTGTCGCCTGTGTGGTGGTCGGATATTTGAATGCTCCAATTCATCGGGTGGTTGATGACGTTTCCGCGCGCGAGGCATCTGTAAGCAATTGAGGGACCTGCATATCCTAAATATAATTAAAGCTATAAGTTGGTTACTGTTGCACAAGAGCTTTGCTAACTTGTGTTGTAGGTTATTTTAGCTTGGGTCACAATCATTTATTTGCAGGTTTCAACATGGGCTATATGCTTTTGACGATTGGGCTTCGTTTTTCAACATGGGCTATATGCTTTTGACGATTGGGCTTCGTTTTTCAACATGGGCTATCTGCTTTTGATGATTGGGCTTCGTTTTCCACCGTCTGGGAAGCTAGCTGACTCTGGCCAGTCTCCAACCTATATCACGATTTCCGTTGAGCCCTCAAACTTTCCTCCCGTCCCGATTCGCCGATTCTTTTTTCTTGTTCATGTTCTTTTCTTCGCTCATTCGATTGCTTTACTAGCTTCTCTGTCGAGCTCCAGTGATTCTCAATCAGAATTTTGTTCAGCCACATGCAAGGCAATTTGAAGCTCTTTTGGATTTTAATTCTTTTGCTCTTATGTGATTGATTTGAATTCTTGATCGATGGAGAAGTGCTAGATGCCTAGACAATATTCATATCCTCACCACCACTATAGAGAATAACTCTCCAACCTGCATAAAACCATTCCAAACAAACTATTAGATAACACTAAGTTGAAAATCCAAAGCTTTCTAGATCTAGGGGTTCGAAAAATGGATAAGGAAAAGCTTCACACCTCTACCCATTCGAAATGCAACAGCCGCCGTTACATCTCCCGACTCCCGAACCCAATGAAAAAAAATTAAAAGGCACACACTATTCCTATCCATCACACCATGGAACACCGAATCGAAATGCAGTAGGAGAGGTTGCATCCAGATGAGCCATACTGAAAACCAGACCGAGACCACAACAAGAGAACACTCCTTCTGAGTGCTTGCATGCCATAAGATTTATCCAAGAACAGATCTGACTGAATTGACAACATGCATTATGCATGCCATGGCCGGGAGTCCCACTTGAGGATTTTCTTCCCCTTTCTTCTTTGATTCAATTAAAAACCCAGGAAAAAGGATAAGACTCATACCAATTCTTGCAATTTCAATGGACGGATGAGGATGTAAGGGGACGAACGACAGGGACTTAAAGCTCCAGTTTCAGATTCATTGTCTGCTCCCGTGAGCGGAACTGAAGCAGCGGAAAACATGCAGTGGAATTGGATTAAAGGGAGTAGTTTGGGCGAGGAAGATCAAACGATAGCTCTCTTTCAGTTTCTTCTTTTGTTTTCTAGAGACGATTTTCTCCACGTGACGAATGATATGGAATGGAGATGGATGGATGGATAGATCGATAGAGAGGGACTGCGTTTGTTTCACCAGCAGAAAAAAAAAGAAATCTAGACGGAGAGGGACGCAAAGAGTGTGGAATAAAAACATATGAAGTTTGCCCTAATTAATCTGATAGACACAAAAGGGGATAAAATATATATACCATAAAAAAGGGATAAAACCTATAATAAGTTAATGGGCTAACCTACTTTAAACGGGCTTGCAAACAACAGGCCAAAAACCCTCCCCAATCCACCGCAGCGTAGCGCGTCTAAATCCCCTAGTATATTATGATAATAGCAAGGTCAAAGAAAATATATAGGGGAATCCCACCACAAGAAAACAAAGGACCCGGAGGGTTTGCGCTCCGAGAAATTAGGAAGGGAAAGCTCGAGCTGCTAGGGTTACGCGTTTTCACTCGCCTTCATGGCGGCGGTGTCGGAACCGCCGGCCGGAGGGGGAAGCAACTCTGCTGATTTCCTCTCAGGCCAAAGACGACCTCCATAGTCCTCGTCCCCCCAACCCGAAGGGTGACAGGGAAGCACAACAAACAAACAAAAACTATAGCCGACCATGGTTGATGGTTTCTCCGTTGGAAGTCCTAACGACATAAACATGGAATCTGCCGCCAAAGATCCGAGATCGCCTCTGACTCAGAGCCCCAAAGCCTCGGCATGGATCCATGGAATGGGAGCAGCACGCCGTTTGTTTGGAAATTCCGCGAAGACTGACGAGTGGTATGTTGCCGACTCCGATTCGCAGGATGTAGCGACCGACATGAGAGAGGATGGCCGTGAAGCTGAACAAGACGAAGAAGACGACCCGTTGTGCCCGCCGATTCCATTCTCCACAGTGGAAGAGCGACAATACTGTCGCCCGTGGAGATCAGCTCTTGTAGTTAAGGTACTGGGACGGTCAACGTCGTATACCGCCATCTCCAAACGTTTGAACTCGATCTGGGCTAAGGCTGGTGGTATTCAGGTGACGTCAGCAAAGAAGGGCTACTTTCTAGTACGGTTCACAAGTGGTATCGACTACGAACGTGCACTAACACGGGGTACTTGGATGATGGGAGAGAATTACTTGACGATGCATATATGGGATAGACACTTCAACCCATATGAACACGAAATCTCATCGACTCTAGTTTGGGCACGCCTTCTAGAGATTCCGATACACTTTTTTCATCCTGAGGGTGTTATGAAAATTGGACGTCGAATCGGGAAGCCGATCAGGGTTGACCAGGCAACCCCTGCAGGTGCTCGAAGTGATTATGCTAGGGTGTGTGTTCAGGTAGACCTCACCAAGCCGCTCATGTCGCAATTTCGGATTCACGGGAAAAAGTATTTCATACAATATTAGGGACTCGAGCGGATCTGCCTACAGTGTGGAAGATATGCAACCTACAGCTCTTGTCAGTGCTCTAAGCCACTTGAACCCATGGAGGATGAGACGGTCGTCGCTCCCAAAGAAACAGAAGCACCGCAACCGAAGAAAATTTACGGTGAGTGGATGATTGCAAAGCGCAAACCACGCAATGGAAAACCTGCCGCACCCAATCCATCACGTGGTGCTCCGTCACCTCCTACGAAACAAGGAGCTCCGGTTGAGTATAATACCTCGGGATCATGATTCCAAGCACTCCATACCGACAATGACGAAGGGACAATGAATGAGGATCAAGAGGAGTCTCCACAAGCTGTGATTCAAGAAAACCAGATTCCGGTCCAGAGCCGGGGGAAGGGGATACCTAAGCAAGGACACGATGGGCCGGCGAAAGCCACAAGTCTGACTCCAACAGAGGTGCATGAAACATAGAAGCAGGCCAGGGAAGATCAAGCTCGCAAAAACCCCCAGATGACGCACAATTCAATTGATAGAGCGGCTCTGGGAAATCATAAAAAGAGCAATCAAACCACCCCCCTACTGAAGACTACGGAGATGAATACCACCATGCACATGCAGGTCACACCGCCAATTTCAAATTCGGTTGACCCCCTGCATAGCAAGCCGAATAGCATGCAGTCAGCGCACGTTCTGGGGAGGCCTCCAGATGACTCGCCAAGTTCCCCAAGCCCATTGGGGGGTGGAGTGAGTCCAACTGAGGAACAAATGTGTGATGTTGACGGAGCTACTCCGTCTGGGAATTAATTCAGGGAGTTGCTCTTTACTCTATCTTTTTTATGGATTTTAATATACTAATCAGGCAAGACACAAGGGCAAAGTATCTCAAAAGCATAAATATTAAATTTTGTCAACAACCATGCCTGTAGATAGTTTTATTTGTATTTGAATCCATTTTACTTGCATCTAGCCTAATCCATCTCGAATATAAAAAATAATGACCCTCCACAATATTCCCAATTTCAAACTATAAGTTTGACCTATCCTGGGCATCGAATTCTATCTCCGGAAAATAGCAATAACAGGTAACGGTGGAGGAAATAAGAATGTACCCCCATTTTTAAGTTTTTTTTTTCTTTGTCGATGTATGATTTGTCAATATGTAACAGTAATAATGGATAAATGTTCCATAGTTGTTGAAATCTTAATTGCAAACATACTTAGCTTCTTAATATGGCAAGGACATTTATGCGTTTCTGTAATAATTATTGTTGCATGGATATGGCATCAAATCCCAACATTGTATCTCAATTTTAATTAAGACAACTCATGCTCATTCATTAGTTTTCCAGTTCTACTAAACATAAAATTAAACAGATGTTTTCATTGCATCCCATATAAGTTTTCTGCTCAAACCCATGGAACAAATTAATCATAATGAAATTAACCATCAAAAGAATTACCAACCTATGAAACTAGAGTAACTAATCATCTTTATTTGAAAAATTAACATGACCCCTATAAATTTATTAGCAATATAATGGTGGATTCACATCTCCCAAACTAGTAACTGAGAGACACCATTATAAACCGTCATTAGACCTTTAAGTCTCTTTTGATCCTGCAAATACAAAAGAATCTGATAAATGGGTTCTCCTAGTTCATCATCTGTCATTATCACATGTGTACTCTTCTCAACTTTCGTTATCCTAAATCTTCCATATCAAATACAAGCCAGAAAGCTATCACCATTACTAACAAACCCTCCAGTAAAAATATTCCAAGAGTATGACGAGAGGAGCAGCATGCTTGACCAAGCACAAAAATATGGAAGTTCTTTCCATGCCTTGGCTAAAGATGCCATAAATGTCGACTGCATTGTTCCTGAAATCCATACTTGGGAACATGATTTTTATGCCATTGGGAATGCGGCAATTTTGGGGGCATTTGGATCAATGTATATCTAAATTTATATACAACTTGTCTAAATTGCATGTTGTAACCTAAGTTCTATTTGCAAGTAAAATAATTTGAATTAGCATGAAAGTTGTGTTCGAAAATTAGAAAAGACACGTATGATCCATTTTTGTAAAGGACGAGTATTTTTTATTTTCATAAAGTATCAAGAAGTTTACGGAACTACATTCGCATAAATTCTAATTCTAATCACGTACACTAATTTCAAAATGTAATTATATATATGAATAGAGTAATATGTTTGTTTAGTTTTGTACGATCACACTTTTAACGAGATTTTTCCAGAAATAGCACTGTTTAAAAAAAAAAATCCAAAAATAGCACCCAACCCCGAAAAATTCCAAAAATAGCACCATTTTTTTTAAACCGCAACCCGGAGGTGCGTTTTTCGATGAAAACGCCACCCGAGGGCGCGTTTTTCGATGAAAACCGCACTGGTAGGGAGCGGTTTTGCAAACCGCACCCCCAGGGTGCGATCTGCCTTTTTTTTTTTTTTTTTTTTGCAAACCGCACCCCCAGGGTGCGATCTGCTTTTTTTTTTTTTTTTTTTTGAAAAATCCTAACTTAGGTGGAAACTTCAAACAAACGTATCTTTATGTTCGGGTATCCGATCGCCGCGATTTTTTTTTTGATTCCGCATAACTTTTTGAGATCTTGCAAGCCGAAGACTGCCAAAGGTGGTTTGGTCTCGCCTTCGAACCAAAAAATGTCATTTGCTACCCCGAACGAGCATTTTTTCGATTTCGTCAAACTTTGAACGACCATAACTTTGTGCTCCACAATCCGAAAATCATGATTTTTTTTTGATTTTGCATAACTTTTTGAGGACTAAATTTTTTATCATAGACATAATTTCGGAATGTACTTGGATTCCTAAAAAGAAAGGTAAACTTATTCCCAAAACCCCGTATATCCAAAATAATTCATTTTTTGAAAATTCTCTCCTAGAAAAAATTGTAGTCCTCAAAAAGTTATGCAAAATCAAAAAAAAGTTCATGATTTTCGGATTGTGGAGCACAAAGTTATGGTCGTTCAAAGTTTGACGAAATCGAAAAAAGGCTCGTTCAGGGTAGCAAACGACGTTTTTTCGGGACGAAGGCGGGACCAAACCGCCTTTGGCATTTTGCGGCTTGCAAGATCTCGAAAAATTATGCGGAATCAAAAAAAAATTCGCGACGATCGGATACCCGAACATAAAGATACGTTCGTTTGAAGTTTCCACCTAAGTTAGGATTTTTCAAAAAAAAAAAAAAAAAACAGATCGCACCCTGGGGGTGCGGTTTGCAAAAAAAAAAAAAAAAAAAGGCAGATCGCACCTTGGGGGTGCGGTTTGCAAAACCGCTCCCTACCAGTGCGGTTTGCATCGAAAAACGCGCCCTCGGGTGGCGTTTTCATCGAAAAACGCACCTCCGGGTTGCGGTTTTACAAAAATGGTGCTATTTTTGGAATTTTTCGGAGTTGGGTGCTATTTTTGGAATTTTTTTTTTAAACAGTGCTATTTCTGGAAAAATCTCCACTTTTAACCTTCGTTATTACATTAGAATCCGACCAGTTCATTGTATGGTGAAAACTAATGATGATGATGTTCATCAAAGGGATGGATTCACATTACAATCCCGTTGTTGAGTTTTAATTTATTATGTGTCCTTGTATCTGTTTTTTCTTCTTTCTTTAGGTAATGCATTGGCATTTTAAGTCAATAAATCAACAATGACGCACAAACAAATGGCTTGCATGAAGGAAAAACTTAAAAGGAATGAAAAAATAGAAGTGTTTGTTGTACCAAAACAAGATGGTGGTAGCTCTCTACTTTTCCATTATAATTTTCGTAGTTTTGTTTTTCGAAAATTATAATAAATAAACCCACTAGTTTTTAATTTTAAGCATGTCACTTTTAAAGACAAAGTTTCTCCCTAATTTAATTTTCTATTTCAAAGTAGAATACTATGGTAGAACCATAAATCACGTGAAACTTTAAAAAGGATTCAACATAGGGTTTCGATGAATAGAAATTGATTCATAATAAGGTGTAAGCTGAGAAGGAGGTTACGTTCGACGGCGTTTGACGAATATTTATAATGATAACTTGATAAAAGTGGTCTTTTATGGCATTGGCCAAACCTATGTCTCCTTCTTTCATATTTGTTCTGTGACTACGCAAACTCGTGCAAAGGTTAAGCATAATAATCATGCAGAGAGGGATGTATCGAACAAGAAAGAAGCGAGCATGAAAAAATCTCACTTGGCTTCCTAGATGTTTGGTCTCTCATACACGCTCTCCGACATATATCGCTAAAGGAGACGGTGGTTGACTTCTTCTAGCTTGTATATAATTTTTCCATGAAATGAAGAGTCAAACTAGTAAAATGCATCCCACATTCTCACTTATCATCATAGGTTATCATGCATCCAACTTGCACTATTTATGTATCAAAGTCAAGAATTTGCCAAATTCCAAAATAAAACAAAAGAGTTGCCACTATGATCATGAAATGTTTTTAGCTTTGTTTTCAACATTAAAAATAGGTATCCATAAATTACACTCATACACACTACAAATGGAAATGAGAGAGAATTTAGAAATGAGTTACCAATATATGAGAAATAAATAAATAAGTATTAAGAGTGGAATCTCATTATAATATCTCGGAGGAAATGCAAGAACAAAAAGAGTCACAAGAACTAAATGATACTATGAGGGTACGTGCATATCACGTTCATTAGAATCACCCTAACTCATTAGTCTACAATAATTAAAATAAAGCTAAGAAAATTTAGAGAACCAACAGAGAAAATGATAACGAATATCAAGACACAAGAGCAAATGATCTCATAAGCATAAATATTAAATTTGATCAACAGCCATGCCTGTAGATAGTTTTATTTGTATTCGAATCCATTTTACTTGCATCTAGCCCAATCCATCTCGAATATAAAAAATAATGACACTCCACAATATTCCCAATTTCAAACTATCAGTTTGACCTTATCCTGGGCACGAATTCTATCTCCGAAAAAATAGATATAACAAGTAATGGTGG